TTTGTTTGGATGATTTTCAGTCCAAATACCCTGTCGATTACAATCCGAGGTGCTAATATAATGGTTTAAGGTCACAAATTGCTTTTAGCTTTTCCTCCCTTTCTGTCCCACACAATGGCAACCAGGAAATGTTCATAAGAGTGTTGTTTTCAATACTCGGGTTTAATATTCCAGTAGTTTGTTTAAACTGATGGTAATTACAAATCATTGCAAAAAATTGATTAAAAGGGACATGACATGCATTTGGCTCAGAGTACAATTTGCTGCGAGCTGAGATTGGAATGGTGATAGGTAACATTTGGATTAACTTTGTTAAATGAAACAAGGCTGCTTATTCTGTACAAAGTGAGATTCTACCTATGAATCCTAATTACTTGGCTTTCTTAGCAAGCCAGAGCTGGGAAGAAGGGAAAACAGAGGTCTCATAATGGCATATTTTTTTGTGAAGATGTTTTAAACTAGTTTATTTTATAATAGTCATGCCAAAAGGCCCCAGCTGCATTGTTTCAGATGTGGCCATTGCACAGCCTGCTCCATTTGGTGCTAGTTTTACTGTTTACAACCACTCGGATATTTTGACACTTGCATTGCCTCCCTCTTTGTTCTGGATGCTTTAACTACTGCAGTCTAATCTTTTGAGAGAGTGAAGCTTATCATGGATAATGAACATATTGGGCCTAATCCTAGCCTATGCTAGAGCTGTTTGGAAAATGTCTGCCCCCCGGAAATATTTCAGCTTGGAAATGCTGCAGCAATATCTAATGGGAGTTGCTATTTAGATGCTTCAGGTTCCTTCTGTGTTGTGAAGGACAAGCCCCCTGGTCAGTCATCACTCGGGGGCATGTTGGTCTCTGCTCCTGGAGAAGGAAGGATTTAATAGATTTCATAGACATCAGGGCTGGAAGGGACCTCGGAAGATCATCGAGTCCAGCCCCCTGGCCCAGGGGCAGGAAGTCAGCTGGGGTCATAGGATCCCAGCAAGATAAACATCCAAATTTCTCTTGAAGGCATTCAATGTAGGTGCTTGAACCACCTCCGATGACAAGCTATTCCAAACCTTGGGGGCTTGGACAGTAAAGAAGTTCTTCCTTATGTCCAGCCTGAAACGGTCTTGGAGGAGTTTATAACCATTCGACCTCGTCATCCCTTGGGGCGCTCTGGTGAACAATCGTCCCCCCAGATCCTGGTGAACACCCCTGATAAACTTGTAGGTGGCCACCAGATCACCCCTGAGCCTGCGCGTTTCCAGGCTAAAGAGCCCCAGGGCTCAGCCTGTCGTCATAAGGTCTGTTTCCCTGACCTCTGATCATGCGCGTGGCTCTTCTCTGGACTCTCTCAAGCTTCTCCACATCCTTTTTGAATTGTGGAGCCCAAAACTGGACACAGTACTCCAGCTGCGGGCCGACTAAGGCCGAGTACAAGGGGAGAATGACGTCCTGGGATTTGCTTGAGAAGCATCTATGGATGCAAGACAGCGTTTTGCTCGCTTTACTAGCTGCAGCATCACACTGAAGACTCGCGTTCATCTTGTGGTCAATCGTGATATCTCCTGGGTGCAACTGTGGGACCTGGCCTATTTAGGAGCATGGGATAGGAGGCAGCCAAACTACCTGAGTACTAAGGCACCTTATCCAATACAAAATATTCTGCTCACTGAAACAGATTTTCCACAGAAAGCAAACACTGGCCTTGAAAACGCTATTTTCTATTAAGCAGCAGTTACGATTAAACTTTTTCTATCAGCCCTACTTCCGCTCTGTCTAGGGCAAAGCTTCTGTTTAAGTCTGTGGGAGCTTTGCTTGAAATCAGTGCAGGAGTGATCTCACTGCAGTGTATAACTCTGGGGTTTATGCAGCCCAAGGGGCGACTGACCAATTTTGTGCACATTCATGGGACACCATTTTTGTGGGCTCTTATTGTGGTGGGGCCCCCCTACGCTTCTGACGGGGCGAGGGACCCTGGTGGGCCCTAACCCACTGATGGAGATGACTATCTGCCATATGGCTCCGTCCCTTGCCGCTGATTGGCTGAGGGCTGTCCATCATGCAGCCCCACCTCTCACCACGGATTGGTGGAGACTAGTAGGGTGGCATGGCAGGCAGTACTCTCAGCCAATCAGAGGCAACAGGTGGGGTAACAGCCATCTCACCTTCCTATTGGCAGCCCCCTTCCTTAGTTTTTCGGGGGGGGGGTTCCCGTGGATTTTGCAGACATCACCCGATTTTGCGATTTTTCACAAAATCCACGCAATTGCGATTTTTAAATTATCCGTAGGAACTTTCTATAAGAGTTGCAAAGTCCTGTGGTGAAATGTGCATCTGTGACATAAAATTTAGAGATTTAATTTTGTGGTACAACAGGCAAGAGACTCTTAGCATCCCTCTTGGAATAAAAACAGCTTTGCTTGTCTCTGCGCTCCTGTCACTTTTCTCTTGGCTCCAACTCCTGGTCATCATACTGAATACTCCTTCCCCTGAACTGGAATAGCAGAGCAGCATAACGCTGTGCCTTCCAGCAAATTCTTAGTAAGTAAGAAACCCAAAAATTTGTAATCAAGCAAAAGTTATGATTGACGGATTGAAAGATCAGGAGAGTTAAAAAAAAAAAAAAAAAAAAAAAGTCCCTTATAATCCTAAAATGCCATAGGAAAAAATCAGTTTATTCTAGTAAAATGGAGATGGCGTGGTCACTTGTCTGTCTGTATCATTTACTTTTTGAGCTGTTTAATCCTTGACCATCCCATGACCTTTTCTGTTAAATGCTTTAATGGCACCACAGCAATTAATCTCAAACACGTCTGACAAATTCAGATGGTTTTACTTACAGAAGGAGTCAGCAGTGTGTGTGTGTGTGTGTGTGTGTGTGTGTGTGTGTACATATGCACATGCATTTGATTGGGGAGGGATAGATCTTAAATACCGTAAGATTTTTTGTTTACATGGTGTTGATCTATTCCAAGTTGCTTGCTTTCTATTCTTCATGAAGTTTTTCCTTTCAAAATTGATGCGTGTGAGAACTGGAAAAACTTAGCACTAAGTGGGCATGAGAAGTGAGAGGTCTCCAGCATAGTAGAAGGTATACAACCCTTGGCATTTGTTTCTTGTCCTGATACGTGCTTACAGCAGATATCTGAGCTGGTGTGAGGATCTGGGAGTGAGGTTTTGTTGGTCATGGTGTGCAGCCATGTGTTTAGCTGTGTTTTTGAAACAATAGCACAGTAACACAATAACCATGTAATGGTGGAAAGAAAAATTCAACTTGGCATCAGAAGCATTGTGCAATAGAAAAGTGCCTTATTTTTTTTCAATCCTGTGTCTGGTTTAAACTGTAGGGAGAATCAACCTTGTAAGAGGTCGGGTTTATCTTAGATGTGAACTTATTAGGAACAAGTGTTTTTAAAGACATATTGTCTATATCAGAGGTGCTCAATCTCCAGTCCACAGGCCAAATGTGGCTTGCAGGGCAATCCCATGTTCTTGGAAATTTTGCAGTGGGGGAGAGCTGGCAATGAATACGGCCACCCTCCCCCACTGCCAAATTCCTAAACCCCAAATGCCCTGCAGCAGGTTGGAGCTGGGTCACAACCCCTCTCCCAGGTGGCTGGATCGGGGCCAGCCCACACCCCTTCCCACTGCAGGGCTGGGCTGCCTCCTCTGTCCGATGGGGACTGCTGCACGGGATCCAGACCACCAGCTGAATCTGACCCACAAACAGACCAGGCACTGCCCATCTGGCCTGCCGGCCAAAAAAGTTGAGCACTGCTGGGCTATACTCACGCGGTCAACTTTTGTGGTGCGTGTTAGCTTTGTCTATGGGAGGACATTGACCGGCAAAACTATAGGAGTAGTTATACACTGTGACTATATTGGTGTAATGCCCTTTGTACACATGCCTGTCTGCTCCAGTGCATGCTAATTAGCGTGTGAGAGCAGACTTGATTAATCTAGACTAATTAGTATATTCCAGCAGCCTCAGTGTCACATGTATTCAGCATTC